AGCACCACCAGCAGCAGCGGCAGCAGCGGCAGCAGCTGGGCTCCCCCAGGGGCCTCACAAGAAGCAGCTTAGACGGTAAGCAGCAGGCCTAAGCTGCCCGAAGGCCTGAAGCTGCTGCTGCTGCTGCAGCTGTCGCCGCTGTTGCTGCTATTGCTGCTGCTGCTGCTGCTGCTGTTGCTGCTGCTGCTACGACAGTGCTGCTGCTGTGCACGTAAACATTTTTGCGCTCAGGACTGCAGCAGCCAGGGAGTCCGTTCTCGCCGCGGGGTTCCCCAAGGGGCCCCCTTGGGGGCCCCCCTTGGGGGCCCCCCGGGGGGCCCCCCGGGGGGCCCCCGGGGGCCCCCCTGCTGCTGTGCAGGGGCCCCTGGAGCTTCGAGACCCGCCCTGTGAGGGTCTCTTCTCCGGGGCCCCTTGAGTGGTTAGTGAAGTTAATAATGTGCTGCAGCGGTTCGCGGCAGTGGTGACGCACCAGCAAACCCTAAACCCTAAACCCTAAACCCTCGCCGCAGAGGAAACCCTAAACCCTCGGCGGAGGCCGCGGGGCCCCCGCTGCCCACAAACGCGGGCAGCGGCCCTTACTGGGTTCGCCGCAACCCCAAACCCTAAACCCTCCAAACCCCAAACCCTAAACCCTAAACCCTAAACCCTAGCTGTGGCGGCGGCGGCCTGCACTCTCGGAACACCCCTAGGGTTTACGAGGCTAGGGTTTACTAGGGTTTACGGGGCTAGGGTTTACGAGGGTTTACGAAACCACCAGAAATAATAAAATGTACATTTGATGAGACAAACAGAACAGCAAAAGAGACAAACGCACGGGGGGCCCCCCAAGGGGGCCCCCCAGTGCATTCTATACAACCCCCTAAATGAAATAGAAACAGGGGGGGCCTCCTGGGGGCCCCGGGGGTCTCTGTACCCTTTTTGGGGCCCCCCGGAGCCCCTCTTGGGGGCCCTACGGGGCCCCCAGGGGTATCTAGCTGTTCCCCGGGCCCCCGGGGCTTCTGACAGTTCTCTGGGGGCCCCTTGGGGGCCCCCAAGTGGGGGGCCCCAGGGGAGGCCCCCAGGGGGGCCCCCAGGCATTTACGTCTTAGGGGTCTTTTGCAGTCTTGTCCCCCTCCTAGAGGGTACAAAAGGAGGACCCCCGTTGGATTCGGGCCCCTGGGGGCCCCGCGGGGGGCCCCCCTGCGGGCTGTGCGCCGGGGGCCCCTCCGGGGGCCCCTCCGGGGGCCCCTCGGGGTCCTTCTCCATAGAGGGGCCCCTGCTTCGGGTCTCAGCATCTGGAGTTGGAGAAGGGGAAACAGAAAAGACCAGCAAAGGAAAGTTCTCTTCAGAATGTTGTCTCCCATTTAGCTGGGGGGCCCACCCCTTGGGGGCCCCCCGGGGGGCCCCCTTGGGGGCCCCCTTGGGGGCCCCCCTGGGGCCCAGCGCCCCAGGGGCACTTGCGGGGCCCCCCAGGGGCCAGTGGGCCCCCAGGGGCCCCTGGGGGGCCCCCCAAGTACCATTTTGTAGGGGCCCCTCCCTCTCTGGGGACCCTTCTAAAAGGGCCCCCAAACCATTTCTTCTGGGGCGGCCTCTGCCCCTGTCTGCTTCTGCTGCTGCTGCTGCGAGGCTCGCTGCAGCAGCTGCTGGAGGGGACACAGTGCCCTTTTGGGGGCCCCCTCCCCGAGCCTCTGCTTCCCCGGACACCCGCTGCTGCTGCTGCTGCTGCTGCTGCTGCTGGGGACCCCCAGCAGCAGCTGA